ACGGCAACATGGAATCTATTTGTTAAATATATATATATATATATATATATATATATATATATATATATATTTTTTTTTTTTTTATCCCGAAATGGTACAAAGACCTAGAATAGTTTTTTCTTTCAGTAATCAAAACAGTGAAAATTAAGTTTCAACCTTTTTATACAATAGTAATTTATTTCTTAGATTTCTTTCATCCATAAGGAAAATAAATAAGACGTTAGTCGTTTTAAAGACAACATCTTAATAGTTAGCCGGAAAAACCACCAGCCCATTGAGACCCTCTTAAAACAGCGGGACCATCTCTAATATCAGCTACGCCCTGTTGTTTAATAGCATTTCACTTCCATATATGTAATTGATAACGAAGTATTAAAAATATCAACCAAAATAAAACATAGAAGAGACTGCTTTTTCATTATCATTACAACAAAGCTACATGTATTTGCCTAGCCGGTCTTTTTGGGGATTTTGCTATCAATATTTACGACTGAGATTATAAAGTGCATTACTGACATCAAGTAAATAAAATTCAATCGTGACGACTTGTTATTCAACCAAGATAAAACACCTCCACCTCGTCAGGGGTGAATTTGTTAGTCCCAGCCAGGATTGTTTGCTTGTCTTGTACTCCACTTGGAACAAGGTAAGAACCGTCAAAGTTTGTATGCGAATAAGTGTTACTGTTTGCATAGTTAGCAATGTAGATGTCATTCCCTTCACCAAATGTCGGACCATAACCTGAGTGCCTGAAAATTGCATATGTTGGGTTTTTCACCATGCTCTTGAATGGCTCAAGACCTCCTTTGTTCCGGAGTGAAAATATGAACGCATTGGAAGTCGAGCTATAACCACCACTGGACCCTGAATAACAAGAAAATAAATACAGAAATACTTTTTTTAGCAAGTCAATATTTAGGAACTGCTAGTATAGCCATACAATCACAGATGCAAGTATAAAAATGAATGAAACTGAATGGCTAAGCAATACATACAGCTCGAATATTAGAACATTCTATCTCTGGAATTTGGCCATTATCGTCTATTTTTGTGTTTTTATCGACTGCATAAGCTGTGATGTGGACATGAAGCAGTGAAACGTTTTAAGTACGAAAAGGCATCGCTTAACTTCAAACCCATTAACGTAGATAGGGCCTAAATGTTTCGTTATTTGTGGAACACTGAAGAAAAAACATTTCATGTCACCCTTTTTTATAACTTGAACTTTAATATTGACGTAAGATTGTATTCAATTTGTATGTATGTTCGAACCACGAGACTCTACCAAAGGTCTTAGGGTTATGACAGTCAGCAAGGAAAAAAGCCAGAGTTTGGACTGCGTACAGACGTCTCAATGAACAGATGTATCAGTTGAACCATATGTTTTCTCTCCAGACCACCAGCCTGAACAAACATTGGTTAATAAGTTTTCTTCCCGCAACACATAATAATGAGCGATAAATTAGCTAAACTCAAAACATTAAGTAACTGACGAAAATTTGTCCCATAAAGGATAACAGAATTGAATTACGAAGGCGTTAAAGATGCGTCAAACTAATAGCTAAGTCATCGCCTTTTCTGAATTTGGTAGACGGGGATGGAGGGGGAGGGGGGATTCAGAGTTTTGTTGGTGTCGTTTTTGTTGTTTTGGGAGGTAGCTATTTGATTTAAGATTGAGATGAGATAAAAGGAGGATCTCTTTTTTTTTTTTTAAACCGAAACAGACAAGCGGTAAGAAAAAAAAAAAATTCATCTTGCAACATCCCAATGGGTTTCGTGCTAGAATTTAAAGCCCAAAGTAGCTTTAGCACTTGAGCTTTATAACTGAGTCGTCCGTAATGTTGATAAAGTTGATTACGTGCAGCAGTTTAGAGGGATTTTCAGTCTTTTTTTAAACAGTCCCAGGGAACTCTGTTGACAGTACTGTGTGAGGTCATCTGTACTATGTAGTTTGCTTATCTCACTCTAGCTTGAGTAAGAGTGCTCTAGGCTTTTCGGGTCTGGCTAGTTCGGACTCATCTCGGAATCTTTAAATAAGGTGCGGAAGTGAGCGCAATCTGTTAGTGTTATAACTATTTATGAATACCACATCAACAAATTAACGATTTGATTTATAGGTCACTTTCGGGGGTAACATGCATAGAATCCTGGTTCTCTTTGAGAAGTGATGAAGTTAAAACAGGCCCCCTAAGAAGGTAGAGGATAGTACAAGCTGGTTTCGTATAGAAATCCACTTATCTACCCCACACATTACCGGAATTATAGCTGCTATTTAAAGGGACGAGCCCTCACACCTACAAATAACTCGCACTCTTATCGTATTACAGGTGCACCGGACTGGATGGTTGGATGGTGGATAGAACGCTTCCCTTACGTTTTGTTGTAATAAGATAAAACTAAAAGAAAGCCCTCGGATTACTCTACAGTAATCAAAGCGTCCTTTATGAAAACGCGTATTGGACACAATGAAAGCAAATTAAAGAATCAGGATATTTTAACACAGGAGTTCCGCTTAGATATTTACTATTAAAGTTGCTTCGTTGAGTATCCTCCTCATCCTATTTGTGGTTGCAAACTCTTAGAAGGGCCGCAAACTCGGGAAGTTATCCGCAAAATACAGAAGTTGAAAGTTTATGCAAATTATGTGCAATGCAATTTGAGCCTATAGTCACAGGACCATAGAAATGGTTTAAACTCCAAGTTGTGAGTTTAAACCATTTTGGTTCAAGAATGAACCACAGCTGTCTACGCAGTGATGGAGAAGTTGTTTGCAAAGAATTTTCGAGGTCTTTTTACAACTTATGGCGATTACTTTGTACACGCTAGCAGAAATTGTACGAAGTTTGTTTACTGGTCGTGGCGATCCGAGTAAATTGTGTAGCTGAACATCTTTGCCGTGTTGCGATCTTAAACCCATTTCAAGAGTCATCTCCTTTGGAGAGCGAATAGTCCCTTTCGAGAGAACCAAAACAAATCATGATAAACTCCTTCGCGAAAACAACAGTCCTGTGACTAGGCTCAAATTGCATTGCACATAATTTGCATAAACTTTCAACTTGTGCATTTAATTTTGCGGATAACTTCCAAGAGTTTGCGACCCTAAACGCAGTTTATGGAGAAATATTCAAGCTACATATTTTTAATGAATCAAGGCAGGAGTATTTTTAAAACGGACTCTCATTTATGAGGGAAGATGCGGCATTCTGTTTTGCTATTTATTTAGGTTTCATGCTCGTCTAGTTCATGTCACGCAACATGATTTTCTTTTACAGTCATACACAGTTTTCTAAAAGAATTGGCGATTACTAAGACTGCTAAGTATATTTGAACTACTAGTGAAATAACTGGCTAAACTATCGTCTATGCAGATTTTCCTTATGACTTGGCAAGAACATTGGTTCGTCAATAATCCCGCCCAGTTCCCCGCACAATCGAAGGTTTAATTCTCCCGCACAATTATGTGCCTCCAAATTCACACGTTATTATTCTTATCTTTACAACTTTGGAGATCGACATATTTTGCGCTGTGCAAGAAACAAGTCGCATGCTTTCAATGAGCTGCGAGTCTAAAAACGTTTTCGTATTTAGCTCGTTTTATTGCAATATGATTTGTTTTACTGCAACGTTCTAAGTAATAACGGCAGTAACCACATACCGTCATTAGAGACCAAACACTGGAGGCGGTGAGGTGGACGCCAACCGGAAGTAAAATTTCCCGCTCTCGAGCTAATTAGCATA